TTTATCAAAGAAAGTAATCTAAAGGAGAGAGAAACTAGGTGACCAAAGATAGAGCCATAATACATTTGGTATCCTGTTCTCAGAGTGACATCTCATACCTCTGTAAATTCTATTGTTCTTGTCAATCAATATTGATAGGATGCTGAATTAATAGAATTCACAAGAGTGTGAGAAGCAAGAGGCAGAGATGATTGGAGAGTGTCTTAACAGAGGGAACCGTAGTAAGCAAGATGAGGATTGAGGATTCATGTACATGTGGCCTATACTGCAATGTTTCAGAGAAAACTACCTATATATCATGCTTTTTAAGAAAATTTTAAAAATTCATACTCTTGACCTCAGAGTGTAGAGAAGAGATGGGCAGAGAAAGAAAGAAATCGAGGGAGGAATTAAACAGGACAGGACACAGACTCTCAAATATATAATCACTTAATCTTTGACAAGCACCACAATGTGCACTGCACTGTCATGCCTGATTGTTCATCAACCTGCTCGAGCGGGTGCCAGTAACATCTCCATTCATCCCAGCCCTGTGATTTTTGACAGCCTCTCCTCTCAGTAATAATCTTTGATAAAGGAGCAAAATATGTGACAGGGAACAAGGAAAACCTCTTCAACAAGTGGTGCTGGGAAAATTGGACAGCTACCTGCAAAAAAAATGAACTCTGACCTCTGATCTCTGTCTAATGACAGGCACAAAAATCTGATCAAAGTGGATTAAAGAAATCAATATCAGACCTGAATCTATAAGGTACATAGACAAAAATGTAGGCAGAACCCACCATGACACTGAAGCTAAAAGCACCTTTAAGTATGAAATATCACTGACCAAGTTAGTGCAAACAAACATTAACAAATGGGACCACATTAAACTAAGAAGCTTCAGGACCTCAAAGGACCAAAATACAGAGAATGGGAAAGAATATTTACCCAATACCATCTGATAAGGAGTTAATATCCAGAATATACAAGACAGTTGTAGAATTGTATAAGAAAAACCTCCAATCCCATCAAAAATTAGGAGAAGTAATGAACAAGAGCTTCGTCAAAAAAAGAAATACAAACGGCTAAAAGGCAAATGAAAAAATGCTCTACATCACTAATAATCAGGGAGATGAAAATAAAAACAATAATGAAATATCACCTGAGACCACAGAGACTGGCAAACATCAAAAAGAATAATTACAATCATTGCAGGTGTGGATGTGGGGAGAGAGGGACTCTTTTGACTATTGGTTGGCAGTGTCTACTGGTCCAGCCTTTTGGAAAACTATATTGGCATTCTTTCAAAAACTAGAAATTGAGCTTCTTGTATGACCACACAATACCACTTCTAGGAATATATCCAGACTATGCAAAAAGCACAGTAAAAATGACATTTGCTCCTGTGTGTTCATTGCAGCACTGTTCAAAATAGTAAGAATCTGGAAACAATCCGAGTGCTTGAGAACAGATGACTAATTAAAGAAACTTTCGTACATCTACACAATGAATACTATGCACCTGTTAGGAAAGATGAATTCATGAAATTTGCTTATAAGTGTATGGTCATGGAGAGTATGATGCTAAGTGAAAATGAGTCAGAAAGAGAGGGACAGACATAGAATGACAGTCACAGACATTTGTGGAACATAAAATAACCTAATATGAGACTGACACCCAAGAATAGTATTGCTTCATAATTGGAACTTGCCTCATGAGCTGGGGGAGAAGGCAGCTGGAATAGAGAGGGGATCACTAAGTCAATAACGCTTGGAGGGGTCATCTAGGATGGGAGATGTGTGCTGAAAGCAGATAAAGGACCAAGCATTATAGCCTCTCAGTATCTATACTGCAAACCATAATGCCCAAAAGTAGAGAGTGTGAAGGAACTTGTATGCCATGGAGGCATGGGGGAGGGTTGGAGTTGAGGGGATACTAGGGCATTGGTGGTAGAAAATGTACACTGGTGGAGGGGTGGGTATTCAATCATTATATGACTGAAACTTAAACATGAAAGCTTTGTAACTATATCTCATGGTGATTCAATAAAAGGAAAGGAAAGGAAAGGAAAGGAAAGGAAAGGAAAGGAAAGGAAAGGAAAGGAAAGAGAAAAAGAGAAAAGAAGAGAAGAGAGGAGAGGAGAGGTGAGGAGAGGAGAGGAGAGGAGAGGAGAGGAGAGGAGAGGAGAGGAGAGGAGAGGAGAGGAGAGGAGAGGAGGGGAGGGGAGGGGAGGGGAGGGGAGGGGAGGGGAGAGGAGAGGAGAGGAGAGGAGAGGAGAGGAGAGGAGGGGAGAGGAGGGGAGAGGAGGGGAGAGGAGGGGAGAGGAGGGGAGTGGAGGGCAGGGGAGGGGAGGGGAGGGGAAGAGAGGGGGGATTGGGGAGGGGAGGGGAAGAGACGGGAGGGAGGAGGGGAGGGAAGAGGACGGGGGAGGGGAGGGGAGGGGGAGGAGAGGGGTGGGGAGGGGAGGAGGGGGAGGGGAGGAGAGGAGAGGAGAGAAAAGAGAAAAAAGAAAAGAAAAGAAAAGAAAAGAAAAGAAAAGAAAAGAAAAGAAAAGAAAAAGAAAAAGGATAGGAAGTAATGGGGAGTAGGGGCTAAGGAGATTGGAGTACGTCTGTGGTATAAAGGAGTGGGAGTTAGATAACCAAGATGAGAGTCAACAACACAAGATCTAAACACAAGACACAAGATCTAAACTTCAACAACTAAACTTAAAAGGTGCTTGTCAAGGTGGCCAACTGAGGATGCAGGGGTGGGTGGAACCAAACCTGGGAACTTTGGTCGAGGAAGGAAGATACTCATGGTGGGACTGGTGCTAGACATACCATGTCTAAAACCTAACGATGAGTAACTTTGTAAATCATGGGTCTTTAATATTTTTAATTATGCATACATTTATTCATTCGTTAAGCATGTCTACTTCTGAGACTCATCATAGAAGATGTTACTTATTACTGGAATAAGATACCTTTGGAATCTAACTACACACGAAACTAAGATTCTGCTAAAGGCACGAATAGAATGGGGAAAAGAGACTAAAATCTGATATGAAACTCTCATGAGGTAACTTCGGGGAATGCTCACAACGAGAGCCCAAGCAATAGTACAACAGGTAGGGCGTTTGCCTTGCACGTAGCCCACCCAGATTCAACCCCCAGAATCCCATATGGTTCCCCCAAGCACTGCCAGGAGTAATTCCTGAGTGCAGAGCCAGGAGTTACTCCTGAGCATTGCTGGGTGTGATCCAAAAAGATTTGGTAATTACCTAAATAATAAAGATTTTCAAATTCATTTTTAAGTGCCACAATGATAGGTTTGAAGTCTATCAAAAATATAATCACTAATACTTATAGCATATTAAAAATAATTTGGAAAAAGGCATTAAAGATATTTTTTGTAAAATTATGATTACCAGAAAAGGCAGTGTGCCTTTTAATTGCCTGTTCAAACTATTCATACCAGTGAGAAGGAAGATGTTTCAAAAGCGGGTGAGAAAGATTCAGAGATACTGAAAAACTAAATATCTAGATAGTTACTAGATCTTTAGAAATTATTAGATTTTTGTGTTGAAACTATCACATAGAAATTGGCTTAGAAGATTAATCAAGCCGGCAGCTTCTTCCAAAACTTCAAAGATTAGAAATTAAATTCAAGGTTTTTGTATTTTACTTGGCTCAGACCTGTGTATTTCATCTGGTGCTTCCCTCAAATCCTTTACATTAAACATTAATAACAGAGATTAGAAACTAACAGAAATGTTAGGAAATTTTAGCTTTTACCAAAAGCTGTCTATTAAAAAGTTTGTAGTATATTAGTATAAATAGACAAATCAGAGAGAGATGTCAGTAGTATATATTTGGACGGACAAAAGCCCTTTCCTCAACACACTCATCAGCATAAAATTAGGAGCAATAAACAATGAATAATGGTAGCATTATTTGTACTGAAGATTTTTCGGATAGCAGAGGGTCACACCTTATGGTACTCACTGGTTTGCTCCTGGCCCTATGCTCAGGAATTATTCCTGAGGGTGCTCGGGACACCATATAGGATGTCAAAGATGGTACCCAGCTAAGCCTTGTGTAAAGCAAACCCCTTACCTGCTATTTAATCTTTCTGGCCCCTTTACTGAAAAATCTTTGGCTTGATTTGGTTTTTACTTACACTTCAAAATTCTTAAAGAATAAGGATGCTGATAATCTTTTCAAACAAGGATATGGTGATCTTACACATAGGGACTAACAGGGCTCTTGGTCGAGAAATTAGACTTTTTAGTATGGAGAACTCAGATCTTAAAAGCATAACAAAAACTTTTCCCACAGTAATTCAATAAATAAATAAATATAACCCCCCACCAAATTGTTCAACATATCTTGGAACTGGAGAGACAGTACAGCAGTAAGTCATTTTCCTTGCACATGGACGAATCAGGTTCAATGCCCTCCTCATCCCGCCCCCCCAACCCATCCCCTATATAGTCCCCCAAGCCTCCAGGATAATTCCTAAGTGCAGAGCTAGTAGTAACCCCTGAGCACAGACAGCTGTGACCCAAACCCCAGCCCTACCAAAAAGAACCAAATATTGTTTAACACTTTATCAATTACAAATAAACAAAGCTTCTTCTGTGGAAATCCAGTTATTTACTTAAAAGTTAAGTTAGCCTAATGATAATTTAGATTAAAGAATTGCTTCTCAGCCTTTTGGCTAAGATCAAGTGTAGATGATATTAAGGGGTCACTGTCACCGTCCTCCCGTTGGTCATTGATTTGCTCGAGCGTTCCCAGTAATGTCTCCATTGTGAGACTTGTTGTTACTGTGTTTGGCATATCAAAGACGTCACAGCTAGCTTGCCAGGTTTTGCCTTGTGGGCAAGATACTCTCAATAGCTTGCCAGGCTCTCCAAGAGGGGAAGAGGAATAGAACCAGGCTAGGCCAGACAGGCTGTGTGCAATGCAAACGTCCTACCGCTGTGCTATCACTCCATCTCATTAAAGGGTAAGATTAAAAAAAAAAGGAGCACTATGCTTACTTGGCAGGGAGATATCATGATCATGAAGGTGACTTTCCCAGGGCAAGTCTTCTTCACTGCAGTCCGGATGTGCTGTCCCCTGTGATTTCCCCAAATGTGGGAATTTCGACTACATAATTTGTGGTAGTGGGGGACTGGGTTAGGTCCATGCCCTGAGAAAACAGCAAAACAAACAAAAAACCAAAAAACCAACTAACATTGTTCCCTGAACACTTAGGCTTCATTCTGAAATCCCAGCTGGTATCAGTAATCATTTGGCAAAGGAAGATGTGAAGAACTTGTATGAAACAAAAGAGAAGTAATGATGTCATAAAATTGAGTTTACTTAAAATGTGTGGATGGGTAACACAATCAGAAGCTAACAAACATTTCTCCAGATCACATATTATTTAATCTAAAAGCATACATTGGTCAAATTTAAAATAATCTTCACAATCAGGGACAAAAAAATGGTTGTTTAACGTGGTGTTTTTCAGAAATCTAAGTGATCTCTGTTGAAATGGCACTTTATCTAGGGCCATGGGCTGTGAGGATAAAATAGAAAACTTTTATACTAACATCCAAAGTCATAACTGTTGTTGGCTGAATAAATATAATATTTAACACTACTATTCCAAGTTTCAAAAACCTCTTGTGCAAATGTTTTCCTTATTCCTACTTTCCCAACAATCCAGGTCTAAGCTAATTGCATTTTTATTTTTTTCTCTGCTATTCCATAGGTTCAACTAGGACCTTATTAATGCAAGACATGTGATCTATTATTGAGCAATATCCCCAGCCCATATCTAGTTGTTTTCTTCTTCAAACTTTCAGTTGCTTGATTTTTTGATTGCTGATTTCTTCAATTTTGAAATCATGGCGATACACTAAATTAGAACGTTTTCAACCTTGTCTCCTATGACTAGATTTCTAAATACTTAAAATTTTTTTTCTAAGTAACAAATTTAAAATATAACAAAAAAGAAAGAGTTTTGGGTACCTTGATAGTAATGATGATGATGCATTTACTTTATATACCAAAATATATAAAAGTAAATAAAACACTGCCCTAACATCACTTCTATTTGATGAGACAAAATTTTTATACTGGAAATTTTCAAAAATTTTATCTTTACAAACATATGTAAGGGCCAAAGAGATAGTACAGTGGTAAGGCACTTGCATTGCACATATGTAACACAGGTTGGATTCCCAGAACCCCATATGATTCCCTGCGTCCACTAAGAGTGACCTTGAGTGCACAACCAGGAGTAAACCCTGAGTACCACCAGGTGTGACCCCCTATTCCCCCCAAAATATAAGATGATTGCTGGCATATTTGATATCAACAATAGCACTGTAGCACTGTCTTCCCATTGTTCATCGATTTCCTCGAGCTGGGCCCAGTAACTTCTCTGTTGTGAGACTTGTTGTTACTGTGTTTGGCATATTGAATACGTCACGGGGAGATTGCCAAGCTTTGCCGTTCAGGCGAGACACCCTCGGTAGCTTGCTGGGCTCTCCGAGAGGGGCAGAGGAATTAAACTCAGGTCGGCCAAGTTGTCCGCGTGCAAGGCAAATGCCCTGCCACTGTGCTATCGCTCCAGCCCCATACCTCCCTGAATGCACCTGATCTCGTCTGATATCAACAATAATATTTTATTATATTTTGATTATCTATGCTAGCTATTTGTGATTATGACAGATGATAAAATTTGCTTGTAGATATGAAATCTAAGTTATCCGAAGGAATCTTAGATATGAATCTTATCTGAATTGTGTAAAAATATTTTTCATGTATTAGCTGTGTCTGTTATAGTCTGAACCTTAGAACGGAAAGAGATTTTTCCAGGAGTGAACTGGCTAACAATAACTAAAGAGGAGATCATTTCTATCATCGATATTATCCGACTCTCAATTTAGCCTGAGTTAATGGATTTTTCTTAGACTTTATCAACAGCATACACAAACGAAAGTATCACACTGAAACCTCTAAAATTGTCCTTTAAATGAATGTCTTCTTACCTGTTTAATTCTTAGAGGTTTGAAATATATATACACACATACGTGTGAATGGGAGGCTTTATCAGCTAATTTCCTATTGTCATACAGTCATTACTCAAATTTTTTCAAAAATATCATTATTTTATTTTAATTCCACCAACTTTACATTCTAGTATTGTATAATCATAAATTTGATGTGTGCCCCTTCTTCATCTGAGCATTACTGAATTTCTGATTACGAATTCAAATTAATTTATCATTGACTGCTAATTAAAGCATTTGACAACCTAGAGCTACTAGTGATTTGTTTATTTAATTCTTTCAGTTATCTTTGAGGTATACAATATTATTTCAAAGAGAAATTCAAAGGTATACAAATTTATTTGCAGAGAGAAATTTATTTGCATTTGGTACAGTGGCTTGCATAAATCAGTAATCAATGAATCTATTGTCCACAGTTCCTTTCATCTCGGCATGTAGTGACACCATATTGCTAGCTTAAACTCACCATGGTAGAATACACATTCCAAGGAAATCATGCACTTCAGTTTCTTCTCCAGAGACATTTGCTAGACACTTATCTGTGCAACCAGGTTGACTAAGGACAGCCAGAAGCAGAATCAGGTCTTACCTGTCCCCTAATTATCAGGGCATTTCTTATATATCTCGTACTGCTTTTTTAAAATCATTTTTAGTAGAAAACCGGGACAATACATTTATGAGAAGATGGATATACTCAGGGAAAATTGGGAGGATGTTGAAAATTACTGGATAAAAACCAGATTTATTTCATATTTTTTCACTTTTCCCCTGTTAAAATATTTCTTTTTTAGGTATTTTAAAATTCATTATCAACTACTTATCTTGAAATTTTTTCTAATATTTTATGACCAAGCACTTTACAAAGTATAATTTTACTGTAAGGTTCTCAAAAGTATTACCAGGCATCTGTGCTCACTAAATTTTAATTTGGGATCTAGAAATAATCTCCGATCCAAATGTTTTTCTGCTTCTCTTTGCTATCTCAGAATTCAATCACATTTATTATATTCCAAAAAGTAACACGATTTGCCCAGTGGAAAATAAAGTAGACAGTTCTTCGAATCAATTGGCATGGCATGAAAAGCGTTGATGCTGACTCTTTTGGACAAGGAGTTCTCCACGGTATGTCTTATAGAAGTCAAAATGTGGGAAGAGGCACTACAAAGAGGTGTTTTACATGCTGGCAAGAAATTCTGACAAGTAAAACTTTTTAAAGGTAATCATAAGTCTAATTTTTCAACTTGACAACTGAGAGCCTACATTTTGTAAAGCCTGGGGAGAGAGTGACTGAAAATAAATGACTTTTTTCTTGTTTTTTTTTTTTTTTAAATCTTCCAGGGGGAAAAAGTAGTTTTCACCTTTAAATATCTGTTCCCTTCTTCCTCCTCCCTCTCGTCTCTCCTGTGCAATAGAGCTATTCTCCATCTGACAGATATCAACCATATGACAATGCTGTTTTTCATAGCAATGTGCTCTCTTTGTTTTCACTGGAGAGGCCCAGTAGGCACAATTTTGGACTTGTTATTAAAGGCAACTAATGTCCCCCAATGATTTTCAAAAACTTCACACCAGTGTGTGACATTTGAAAGCTTTTCCATTTCCCATAATTGAATGCATGTGGCAGAGCGAGAGGAAAAACATTTCGGCAGATACAAGAATTAATAAGAATTCACGTAATTTATTCCATAGTCTCCTAGGATGTGTATAGATTTATACATAATTTTGTGAAAGATGAGGTTGTGCAAACTATTCAGAACTAAACTTAGACACTGCTGACCCAAGACAGAGAGTAAATCAAGGAGGGCATTTGATAGGGAACAAAGCATCCTATTAATATTCATCTCATATTTAAATTGAGTAAAAATTTTTATCATTGGGACTATGTGCCTTATTGTTATAGTTTCATGGGATGCTGGATCAAGTCATTAGTAAAACTCTGTTAGATTTCTGCATAAAATAGAAATAACCTTCCCTTCAAAATGTGTTCTTGTATACTGAATGCCTCTTGCAAATTTACCAACAACAGTACATGAGATCTTTAAGTGATTATAATTGTTATTAAAAATAAAATATTAAAAGTAGAAACCTTATGTTATCTTGATAATTATAAACACAATTACCCTCTCTTTTTGTCTGGATATTACTGATCACAGCATTTAAATATACATATTTTAAAAGTAAAGGGCAGTAAATTTCCAATATTCACATCAATAATGACACTACACTGATATATGTAACTCAGTTTTTAAAAAACAGAAACAACATTGCAAATAAGCTTTCATGATGCTCATTCTTACGCCAACCATCTGTATCACAACATTACTCTTCCCAAGAGCCTTCAAACGTATAGCTTAAGAGATAATACAGCTGGTAGGGCATTTGCCTTCCATGAAGCGAACCAGGTTCTATCCTCAGCGTCATAGAAGGTCCCCTGAGAACCAGTAGGAGTGATCCCTAATACAGAGATAGGAGTAAACCCTGAGAATTGATGGGTATGGGAAAAAACAGAAGTGAGAAAGGGCTTTCAAGTGTAAACATTAATGTTAATGGATTTTTGAAATGTCTATTGTAACATGACAAACATATGCCACAAAGATAACAATACCAAAAATCAGTATTTCAAAGTTGAAACAATTTTTTGTATGTTAGTATACAACTTTACATCAAAATAATGTTTCATATGTTTTTATCTCAGTTAATGTTTTCATTGAACTTGTAGCTTACTAAGGTTATGAAAACTTCTTTAGGTACCACTGAAACTGAGACAGAGTGAGTCTACTTTTCCATTGTAAAATTCCATTAAAATAAAGAATGTGGGCCGGAGCGGTAGCACAGCAGGTAGGGCGTTTGCCTTGCACGCTGCTGACCTGGGTTCGATCCCCGGCATCCCATATGGTCCCCCAAGCACCACCAGAGTGATTCCTGAGTGCAGAGCCAGGAATGACCCCTGAGCATCACTGGGTGTCACCCAAAAAGCAAAAAATAAATAAAATAAAATAAAGAAAGAAAGAATGTAAAGTAACTGGAAGATAGGTCAGAATTGAAGATCACACTATGAGTCACTACAGATCTAATAAACATCAATGGGCTATTCTTTTTATTTGGGGGAGCTTCCATAGAACCATAATTAA